AGGTGATCTGTCTACCTGGTCTCCAGTAACAGCTGTCATGCTGGCCTAGATTTCAAAAAGTTCCAAGCTGCTGTGACAACAGGATAGTCATTTTGTCATTGTTCTGTTGTTTTTTAATCTGCCAGGTGAAGTGATGAGGGAATGAATGTACATAGAGTGCTTAAAGAACCTCTGTAGCAAATTGAAATATATGAAGTGAAATAAATTAAGCAACTGTTTGGTAACAGGTGTTATAATCAATGTGAACTCTTATTGCACATCTAGTTCTGTTTTCTAATATTTGAGATGGAGTACTCTTACATAAGGAAATAAGAATGCATGAGAATGTCACTGTGTTTCAGATGTCCTTAAACCATCTTTCAGATCTTTTGACTTTGCAAAGTTTCAGTATTCAAATTAAATGCCTTAAAATGTATGTTCTAACAGCCGTGTAGTACTACTTTGGCAATTCAGCCAATAGATGAATCATACGTGAAACAGTTTATTGTTTTTCTTAAAAGAAAAAATAGTGCACTTAGATGTTTTCTTCAGATGTTTTCAGTCTTCTGAACAGTTCACTTAAGTACCTGTATATTATTTGTTAGAAGGACATACCTATTGGGACTAGTAGGTTTGATTTTTCTTTTGATTCTGTTCCAACTGTCTTCAGCTTTTTTATATCCTGAATATATGGTGTATATATTTTTGAAATAATTATATCCAATTTGTGCTATACAAGCTGTTTTTTAGACTGATTTAAAGTATACCAAATGTATTTTGCAGAAGTATTTTTTATCTGCCATTGTGGAAATATTTTCCTCTTGATAATTAGCTTTGGGGTAAATGTTCTCATGTTCTCCTGTTGTTGCCTCCATCTGTTCTTGCATAACCAGCCCCAGTCACTGACAGTGTTGTATAAAACTGTGATGTTGTATCATTATAGACTGTGAACCCATAAGAATTCAACAGAATGCTCTTTCTCATATGGTCCAGAATGCTGCTTTTATAGTAAGAGCTGTCTTGTTGCCTTATGTGTAAGTGTATATATGGTGTCTGGTAGTCTGAGTTCTGGGTGTTACTGCACATGTTATCATAGAACGATTTGGGTTGGAAGGGACCTTTAAGATCATCTTGTTCCAACCCACCTGCTATAGGCAGGGACACCTCCCCCTAGACCAGGTTGCTAAACTTCCAGTCCAGCCTGGCCTTTGAATGCCTCCAGGGAAGGGGCATCCACAGCCTCTCTGGGCAACTTGTTCCAGTGTGTCACTACCATTATATACTGCACATAACAAATACAGTACAGAGCAGAGATTTCTGTGAAGTAGAAGAGATATGAGCGTATTGTACTTATTTGCTTGCAACGCTTGTCACCCAGTTTGTTTTGGAAGCTGCTTGATGTATTGGGGGCTTTTTGGTTGTATTAAACTGATCTTTTCCTATGATGTGCAATGCTAATTGTTTGTGTAAGTTCATTTTTATAACAGGTCTGTATGTGAACAATGGTTTGCTGTTATCAAGCCTTTCTGGTGGAAGCTCTAGGAAAACATGTTTTTTACTGATTGTTCCTTTCAGAATTTTATAACGTTAGCTAGTTTGGGTGTCCTGTATGTGAAAGTAATATAGAATATGAAATGTAGGAGTGCAGCTGTGTAACAGCTCTGCTGAAACTCTTGTTCTGAGAGGGAATGAATTGTTTCTTTCTAATATGTCTTATCGCGTATCCATTTATGCTGTTATTGTAATAAAAGGCTGTTAAGAACTATATGGAGATCTCAGAAGCTTTTGCTGTTTTTAACACAGAAAATAAAACAAGCAAACAGATTTTGCAACTTGCTCAGGCTGACCTTCATTTGAGCATTTCTTTTTCAGTGTTGTTCTGCTATAAAGTATTGAATGGAAAAGAATACATATTGAAGAGCAAGAGGGGAAATTCCAACTAGTTCTGCTTTGTTCCAAATCATTACACGTGAAATCTATACTAACTTGAAATAGTCATTTATTTTTATTTTTTATTTTTTTAAAAAAGCTTTCCTTTCTTTTTCATTGCTTAGACCTCAGACTGTAAGTCAGATCAGTTGATGCTAGTGTTCAGGCTGACTCAGTGGGTTGTAGCTGATGGCACACAAACTATATTTCCCTTAAAGAACATGTGCAGAAATTATATTCAAGTGTTTCTATATTTAAATGGGGTTCCTTGAGTTTATAGCAGCTGTTGCTTTTTTTGTAACTTTTTTGCTTTCCCCTCCTCTTGATACTTCTGACAATTTGTCAAGTCAATGAAAGTGCTGGAGTAAATTTGGTATGTTCTGTGATAAGCCATAGAGACCAGAAGATACGTTTTCAAGACATGTTTTTCTAGCTAAGTGCTAGAATGAGTAAATGTAAGGGATTAGTGTGAGAGAAAGGATGTAAAATAAGTTTTTCTTCTTGAAGAAATAAAAATCAATCTTATGAACAAGTGTATAGATACCCAGTATTTATCTGGTGGAAAGATTGCTTCTTTGTGTCTAGAATGTTAGTTAGTGTAGATTTGGAATTATTCTCACTTCTAACTCGCAGAAAGTCAGGTTCTTGAAGACCTTATTTCCTGTCAGATATCTCCCAGCTCATTAGTAATAGATATAATGTATAGGAATTTCTTATACTAAACTGTTACAGAATTAGAGCATTTTTGTTACAGTTCTCCTGTTTTGTTCCAGTAGGTGTTGATAACTAGAGATGCTTTCAAGAAATACATGTAGGAGTCAAGATACAGCAAAGCAGAACTGTGGTGTTTAAGGTAGGGTTTAATGAAATGTAAATGGCTTTTATACTTCTGAGTACAAAATGTCATTTTTTGACAATGTCTGCTTTTGAACTGTGATTTTCACTTTCTGATCATTGCAGCGAAGACATGCAGTCTGTGTAAAGCCACTAGTCAGAGAAAGGGAACCTGGGATGAACCTGCCTGGTTACGAATACCGTTATTAAATAACTAATTAGCACTGCTGTCTGCACACATAACAAAGAAGGGTTGAGTGTCAGTTTTCCCTGAATAATGAGCTAAATAATGTCATGATGTTGTGACTGATCTTCCTGCTACGTTGCAGTGTAACAAAACAAGAATTTTGCCACATGTTTTGATGTAGAGTGAAAATGTTAAAGTAAAACTGAATAGTGAGAGCGTTGTGCTGCAGCTCTGGTTGATTTGCAATTGAGAGGAAGTAACACTACTTTTTAACCTCTTAATTGAGATGAACTAGAGTAAAAGTGTAACACTAGTGGGTTTTATTTCATAGGTAAATGAAAAGTGCTCTATAGTTTAAAAAAAAATAGAGAAGAAAAGACATGAGAGTATCACACCTTTTGTTTCTCAAGGCTGATAACGTTCTGCCCTTCACTGTTGTACATTCATTTAATATTTAATGACAGTACATGAAATTGTTTCTGCTGTGTAAGCTACATATAAGCTTCTATCCCCTTTGCTGTGTAGTTGTTCTTTGAACTATTAGCACCACAAGTTGCTGTATTGGTATCTTTTGTAAATCTGATAAACCTGAAGACTGCATGATGTTTACAGTTCAGTATTTTCAGATTTCTCTGTGCAGTTTAAGCATTTCAGTTGATTTTGTTTGGGAGATTTCTATATCATGAATGCATCAACCAATTCTGCCAAAGTACTTGAAGGTGAAAGTGTCAATTTTTAAATCTTGCAGGAGACTTAAGGTAAAAGGGCTTTAACTGAGTAGTAGCATTTTACTCATGTTGAAAAAAGAAAGAGTTGGAGGTAATGCGATGTCATCAAAAAAACAGTTTAACATTTCTCTGTAGCACTTCAGTCTTCCTTGGAAAAGAATACTAATATGCACAGAGTTCTGTGGGCAATAGTTGAGTGGTGTGTGGTTTTGGTTTTTTTTTTTTTAATCATGTGTTTTGGGTGCATGACTAGTTTCCTACCTATGAAAGGCAAAGAACATCCTCTGTTTTATCACAGATGGAGACTGAAGAGTTTCTAAGAAAATAAGGGATTTATTGAGAAGGTGTTCTCAAATTTTCTTCTAGCATCTTTGCAAGTTTTGTAGTAATCTTTAAACTGCTGTGCTTTACCTGCTTTGAAGTGAGCTTCCTAAATGTTTGAGCTGTAAGTACCTGGGGTGACAATATGGGAAAAACTGGAGAGGAAGTGAACCAAAACCAGATATGCTTTTAGAGACAATCTGACAATGTTTCTTGCATATTGTATGCTAGCAGAGGATAACAGTAACTTTTGTAGTGGGTTATGACAAGCTTATCATAGCTTCTGAAAGGCTAGGAGCCCACTCGGAGAGCTCTTCCTTCCCTAGAGGACTATATAAATGATTACAGAACCAATTTCTCTTTGTATCAGATTATTTGGACAGAAAATCTCTAGGTATGTTCATTTATTAAAATTATTCTCCTTTTCAGAAAATGGAAATGTTTATTTTTTACTCTGTGCATCATTGATCCATGTGCAAATGGCTTCTTGTTTTAAAATTGAAGTATTTTGTTAAGGGTTTGCATGTGTATGAGGTGCTGTGTCTCACAGAAGATGAAGTGGCTGTATGCTATGCTGGGGCCTTGTGCACGCAGCAAGGCTACCTCACACTGCACTCTCCAAATGAACTTGAGGTAGCAAATAATTATGAACTGTTGGGAATGAGAACATTCTGTGTCAGTTACTGCATAGAGTCATTCATTCAATTGAAGAATGACCCTCTCAGAGACTTGCATAAGTAACCCAGTTCACTAAATCCTGTTCGTATTGGTACCTGAAATCCCTTCAGTTTTCCATTTTGTGTTCTTGGTTTTTTTTTTTTTTTCTTGTAGAAGTAATCCAAAAAAGTTCATTGTGTTTTCATTTGTTATTTGGATGATTCAAAATAGCGGTGAGAATGCTATTACTCACTACAGCAATGCTGAAACACTAGGTAGTATTAACTATGTTCAAGAAAAGATTGAACTCAGTTTTTATTTTGTAGTGCAACTTAAAATTGAAGATACTTTATGGGGGAAGAAGTCCTCTTGGTCTTTCTGATAATGCCCTGAGGTAAGAAAAGTCATTATGTTGAATAAGAGAACAAAAGGGAAGTGGGGAAGAGGATTATATTGTCTCAGCCTTGATCTCACAATGAAGTGGAAAAGACAGTCTTTTTGTCTACAGGCTTTTCTAGGAGTACGTGGAAATGCAGTCATTGCCATTAATATGTATGTATTCAAGTTATGCTGGGTGCAGGAATGTGCCTCAAGGTTTGCATAAAGGGTTTAGAACCTTGGCACTTCAGTCATGATGCTGAAGTTTGGGAGAAATGGCAAAGATAACAGGAAGTAGGAATTACTTTTCCCTTGTTGAGATATACCATCAATTATTAAATAACTCAATAAAAATTTCACAGTTGCTTGAAGGTACTCTAATTACAGGATTTGTTTCAGTGCACTGTCCTGTTGTGCTGGGACAAAAATTATTTTTTTGACAGCTTGTGATTGACTGTAATAATAACACAAACATCTGAACGATAAACTGGTTCTGATGTGCAAAATAATGAACAACCAACTAATTTGATGTTATAAGAAATATGGTATCAATGGGAGTTCACTGCTTATTTCAGATTTCTACTGATTTTGAGAAGTTCTTCTGAAACTTTGCTGTGTTCATAGTTTGGACTTAATTTCTAGATTCATTTTTATCACAGCTAGTTAATGCATTAATCTTGCCATGTTTTGTATGCTAAGATGATCTTACATATATTTTGTTCCCATTTTGTTTTTATCTTTCATGGAGAACTGTTAGTACTGCTTCTTAGAGCTGGTAAAGCTGCAATAGTAACAGATCCATAGAGAGAATGGATATTGTTTGACAGAAGTCCAACTACTGATCTTGTAGACATTAGCTGGTAACTAGCAGATATAGAAAGTAGGTTTAAGAATCTATTATGAGATGAACTGCTTTGTAAATACTTGATTGCAGCTTAGTAGTCATCTGATGCATTGAAATGCTTCATTTAAAAAAAAAAAAAAAAGACAATCATTGCTGTATAGAAAGATGAATAAATCATTTATTAATACTTAATGTTTAGAACTGGTTAATCATATGTACAGGTTAAACCCAGTAGCCAGCTGAGCCCTACAAAGTCGCTTGCTCACTTCCTTCTCAGTGAGTTACGGAGGAGGACTGGAAGGGTAAAAGAGTGAAAGCTAGTGGTCTGAGATCAAGACAGTTTAGGCAAAGCAGAATCTGTGTACGTGAGCAATGCAAACTAAAGTTCATTGAGTACTTCTCATTAGCAGGCAGGTGTTCAATCATTTTCAGGAAATCAGGGTTTTATCATGTGGAATCTTTACTTGGAAAGACAAATACCACAATTCATTCTTTCTCCTAGTTTTTGTAGCTGAACATGCTGTCTCGGGATATCATTTTGGTCAGTCTGGGTCTGGTGTCCTTGCTGTTCCCATTCCTCTCAGCTGCTCGTGTACCTCATCCTGAGCTGAAGGGACAGCATGAGGAAGAGAGGCCTTGACATTCTGCAAGTGCTGGTCAGCAATAGCGAAGACATGGCTACGTTCTCAGTACCATTTGCATCATGGATCCAATACTCTGAAAAAAATAAACTCTATTCCTGAAAAAAAAAAATAAGTACAACCTTCTGCTATCCTGTTGTTCGGAAAGTAAATTTAGCTGGAGATTTGAAAGATCTCTATTTTTTTTCCCCTACTGTTTTATGTTTACATAACTTCATTATTTTGTATAAAAGCTGCAGTGTTTCAGCACTCTTGAAGTCTTTTCTAAGAGCTATGATTCCATTCAACATACCCTTTTCAGTGGCTTTAAAGCTTTGTAAGTAATGATAGGCTGTTCTTTGCCAGTTGTTGTATGTGTGCCATCAGCTACATTTCTTGAGGATTCAGTGAAAAGGCACAGAAAAGCTTGTGGTGCTGTTGTCTGTGTCCTATATAATGTACAAATGATCTCCATCACTCTGTACAACTTGTGACTTCAGTGCTGATCACAGAGAAAAAACTTGATTTGTTGTTGCCATAATTTTTTTCAAATCACTGATTTTAGTAAGTCTCACCTTAAAGGATTTTGACCTTTAAAACTCACTAGTTTTAGTGTTCCTCATCTTGTCCTTAATTACTTTTCAGACTAAAATACAGTCTTGTTCTTTTTATTTTGCAAGTCAGCCCTTTTATTAGTACTTCTGATGAGTCGGTATTGCACCAAGATATCTTACCTCAAGCAATCTCTGCTGCGTGTCTGTCTGTAAGAAAACATTATTGCTTTGAAGTCCTGAAAACTGTGTATCCAGCTTCTTTTCTTGTTATCCCTCTTTGAAAGTATTTTATGTTGAGTTTTTTCATACTTGGAAAAAAAAAAAGCCAAAACCTATGCAAGTTAAACACTAAAAAGTGAATAGGTGAATACACTGGGAATCAAGAGCTGAAGTTTGTATTCTGTGATTAAACTAGAAATAAATTAGTACAAGGGATTGTTTTAGTTTTGGCTACCTCCTTCTCTCCCTTTCCCTACTTCTTCCCCCATGCAGTAGTTACGTGTTGGCTGCTTTCAGTAGTAGTGATCTGGTGGAGTCTTTGGTGGTAGAACATGTTCTTGGCACTACTTTCAGACAAGTAATCAATATCTATCTTGCTACTAAGGAGACAAGTGTTCTTATTTCCCTCCTCTCCAGAAATGGCTGGTGATCAATGGTAACAGTGGGGAGTTCACAACGTGGTGAAAAAGATGGTCAGTTCTGGAAACTCCTTTCTATGACTAAAATTAAAAGTCCAAATCATTATTCTATTGTAAGTTTTCCTAACAGTGAAATGTTAATAATTTGCAATAGGGTTTTGCTCATGGAGTCTTTTAAGTTAGAGAAGGAATATGGTGTCTGATTTTTCAGAAGCCAGAGGCTTAGTATTTACTGCTTGCTTTCTCTTTTTTAGGACACAGATTGTCACTTGGTTTGCTTGTGCTCTTATCTGTCTAAATGCGTTTTCCTGCATTTGTTACCGAGATGAATGGAGGCATATATACAAACTGATCTTTGGAACTCTGCAATGATTTTTAGAATTTGAACTTAAAAGTTCAAAAAACTTGCAAAGTCATGAGGGAGGTGGGGGAATGTGACTCTTCTTACTACCTTTATAGACAACTTACTTCAACTTAGTATTCCTGCTGTGCTTTTTTTAATCTCTAAAATGATTCTTCATTAGGTACGAGCTCCCATGGCTATGCTGATTTCTATGTTTTTTTTTAGCCTTTTATTTTAAAAAAGAAAATGTTCCGTCTTTTTATAGAGGACATAATGTATTTTCGCTCAGGTTTTCTGGGATGGTCAAGATGTCTTAACAATATTTGTGTTAGTATGAATGCACACAAACACACATATTTTAATCACTGAAGTGGGAAGGAGAAAATATTCACAAGCTTGAGCAAAAGAGGTAAATCCAGAGAGTGATGGTCAGTGGCTCTGTGCCTGGATAGAGTTCAGTGATGAGTAGTGTTCCCTGGGGAACAATTCTGGGACCAATACTGTCTAGTATCTTTATCAGTTATATTGATGGTGAGGTCAAGTGCACCCTCAGCAAGTTTGCAGATGATGCCAAGCTGTGGGGTGCAGTCAACATGCTCGAGGGATGAGATGCCATCCAGAGGGAACTAGATAGGCTTGAGCAGTGGGCCCAGCAGAATCTCATGGGGTATGAAAATACAAATACAGGGTCTTGCACCTGTGTTGAAGTAATGCCCACAAACAAGAAAAGCTGGGGAATTAAAGGATTGAGTGCAGCCCTGCTGAAAAAGACTGGGAGTACTAGAGGATGAGAAGCTAGACACGAGCCAGCAGCGTGCCCTTCCAGCCCAGAAAGCCAATTGTATCCTGGGCTGCATCAAAAGAAGTATGGCCAGCAAGTCATGGGAGGTGATTCTGCCCTTCTGCTCTGTGCTGGTGAGGCCTCACCTGGAGGTACGGCATCCAGATGTGGAGTCCTCAGTGCAGGAAGGATGTAGATCTGTTGCAGTGTTCCAGAGAAAGGCCACAAAAAATGATCCCCGGGATGGAACACCTCTCCTGCTAGGACAGGCTGAAAGAGCTGGAGTTTTTCAGCCTCAACAAGAGAAGATTCCAAGATGACCTAATAACAGCCTTTCAGTATCTAAATGGCAGCTACAGGAAAGAAAGGATCTGTGGTGATAGGACAAGGGGAAATGGCTCCAAGCTCAAAGAGGGTAGATTTAGGTTGGAAAAAGTCTTTTGTGGTAAGGCACTGGAGACGTCATTGATGCCCCATTCCTGAAGACTTAAAAGGTGAGAATACACCAGACTTTGAACAATCTGATCGAGCTGTGGATATCTATGTTCACTGCAGGGGAGTTGGACTAGATTATCTTTGAGTCCCTTCCAATTCTGAGGATTCTATGATTTAAAAAAAAAACAAACAACAATACCCAAGTACTTGAGAGTGGGTAGACTGTGCTTGTAGAGACTACTTTCATGTAAAAGAATGCTAGCTGCAATTGAATTGGAATTTATTATTTATATTAAGTCTCAGCCGCACTTCAAACTGTAGGCTGAAAAACATTTTCATCCTTTCTCAGGATGACAGCGTGTTCTTCAATGATTCTGTAATCATGTGTTTTGTGGGGTTTTTTTCTTCCTTTTCTCTCTCTCCTGGTACTCTTGTAAGAAAAAAAATCTGGTAATACAGAGCTCATTTGTTAGGGAGTCGGTTTCTCCTTCACTCTCCTCTGCTTTTGGAAATGTAGATAAAGATTTTAATGCAAATGAACCCTTCAGTGGCTCTAGGGCCAATTCAATGCAAATGGAGCACTTGCATTATCGGATGTGGAAAAATTCAACAGTGTTTTTGATGCTTTATGAATTAATGCTTTATAAATTATACATCAAAGAAAATACACGCACTCAATTTATCAAACATTGTCTGAAGTTCACTTAAGCTTCTCGTAAGCTGAGTTTACATCACAAGATAGATGTGTTTGCCTGACAACCTTACTTTCCAGACAGTCTACAGCTTACTGAAATATTACAT